GTCAAATTATCAAAGATGGAACATATTCTCACAACACCCAAAACGTAAATATGGATCGTACAAGCAACAATTTCACCAAATGTATACCTGTCCAATTGTCTTGTAAAAGAAACTTCTTACAATGAGAAACGTATTGCTTTTCTATCCATTCCCACCTTCTAAAGCAAAAAAGAGAGATATCCTGTGCGTAATGGTCCAACATACAAAATTTAGTCCATTACAATCAACTATGTAACCTCTATGACATAGACAATCATTAAATGGGTGAATTACAAACAGCATTCCACCTTGGCTTCTTTTGTGATACATCAGCAGCACAACTCCCTGAGATCGCCATAGGAGAAAGTTAGCTGTATGATTTTACTGCAAGGAAGTTGTAACCGAAGAAAAGCATATAGTGATCTCATTCACCTTCTACTTGCTAACAGACAGTCACATATGATTGTATGGAAACACTATCCATTACGTATCAACTGGCAGTTGATGCGTCCATGTGACCAGGACAGATTCTATTTGGTAAAGGCCTTGCAATAAGTCCGTCCATTACCCATCCTGCTGATTCACCATCAATTTTAACATGGTTGAATTCTCTTTGCACATACTCCACAGATATTTGTAGCCTTCCCCCTGGTCTGCAGTCAGTAGAGGCACCACTTGCTGCAATTCCTGCATTCCTTTCCAACCAGTACAAATAATTTACCTGGAACAATGACTTGAGCATATCTTGAGGTGAAGAACTTTCTTTAAGCACTACCTGATCTATGCAAAAAATTCAATAACACAAAAGGAATTAGTATGGCCCTTTTTATTATCCTTCCTTTTGAAATGATTAGTATTTGCCCCTTCTATTATCATTTTCATGCCTCCCATCCAAGTAACAGAAAGGTAGCAGCTAGCATATGGCACTAAATCATCCAACTTCAGCCACATCACCATATTTTCACAAAGATGACTACTGTAAGAACCTGATTTGTGGCTTTCTAAACTTAACTACTAAATAAATATTAATTGAGCCTCATAATTCTGGTGGCAAAAAAAATAAAGTATTCAAGAAATTTAAGACCAACTTGTGCTTCCAAAGAATTTAGCAAGGGTGGGAATAAGAAGAGAGACAACAGAAGAGAAGAAACCAAGCTAAGTCCTCCCAAGAATAAGTAAAGGGTGTCACCTGTGAGTTTGTGAGAGAGAAGAAATGGAGACTTAAATCCATAATAGTTATGCACTTACACAGAATTTTCCTTCCTGTTCAGTCAGAATATAGCCTTCATCTTTATACAAACTGAATAGTGCTAGTGCGTCCTCCTTGTTGTTGACAATATCACTGAGTTTTGACCCCAACTGCAGCCGGCACTCAATGTCAGCAGCGGCCTGCTTTGCTTCTGAAGATAGTACAACTGATCGTCCCTATAAAAATTTAGGATGGAATATCTCAGATGATATACAGACAAATTGTTACAACCAACCTTCTGTATGTTGTTTGCTCATACTCTGCTTCATTGGTAGAAGTTTTTAAAAATTTTTAAATGGTGAATTGACCATTTTAGAACAGGGGTAAATTTTACAAAGTTGAATTGATAAGGACTGGAAGAGTGTCGGAGAGGTTAGCACACCCCATGCCTGACCCATAAACCAAACTCCTCTCCTCCCCAAGCTGAATGCAAGAATCAACAGCTAGAAGTCTTGAGCCATGGTAACAGAGCAGTACAAGTACAAGATCATATTCTGAAGAACCACAGTTATAAATTAAACCTTCAAAGGAGCTTTCTCTTAATTGCACAAGAAAATTAGTTGAATCATAACAAAAATGAAGAGATATTTCAATGCTACCTCTTAATGAGTAATGGTTTACGATCCTTTGTGAATTCAGTATTCATTCAAATTCATCAGCAACTTTATATAAGAGGAATTCTCCTCTAGTAAAATATCTGTGATGCAGGATTTTCTATTACTCACAATAATATTGAGCACACATATTTGTTTATACTCTGAAGTTTTAGCCTGCTTAACCTCTTCGGTTATTAAAGTTTCTACAAATTCGAAAACCACGATATGGATTCAGACTGAGCAAATAAAAAAATGATATGGATTCAGTAGAACCACTAGGCAACCTAGAAAAACATCTGAAATATTGACCCTAATCAATCAATCCAGATTCTTATATCTAACTTAATTCAGATTAAGATTAATTAGTAACTATCTCCTGAGAGAGCTTAGAGAGAAACAGTAACTCACTCTGTTTGCAGACAGTAAATTAAGGAATGGTACAGCTGGAAAAAGTGGTTCCTCATCATTGACCTCTTTGATTGAAGGTGCCTGGCCACTCAAGAGATATTCACTGAAAACCAAACCTGTTAAAACATTAAAGGAATATGCTTTCCATTACGTAATGAACTAGAACTCATTTGACAACAATGATAGGACAGATATATTACTTGCACGATAGGGATTTAATGTCCTCAGTTGAATAGATTGGTATGACTTCAGATTGCAGTACATGTGGACCCAAGTAACAACACCAAACGAAGCAAGGGCAAGAGATGTAGATGAGCCTATACAGTTAGCCACTGCTATACCAAGCACGATTCCAATGGACTTGCTTACCATTCCCTGAGCTTCACCCTTAGCAATTACCTACAATCACTAATTGCCTTTAGTAAAGACATAATACAGGCTATTCAAAGTCAAAGTCACAATGTCATTAACAGGAATGCCAGTATCGTGCCAAATCCAATCTGATTATACATAAAGGAGGACATTTTTTTTCAGGGTATTCAAAATTGCATATCATATCAGATATTACGTAAAAAACAATAAAGATAAATTATGCCTTACCTCAGCAAAGTTCCTTTGAGCAGCAAAACCAGCATAGAAGCAACTTCTAGTAGCAGCCTGGAATTGATCAGTATCAGCTTTCAGCAACACAGTTTTACTTTTATGATAACAACAGAAAATTACTTGATTACCTGGATGAGAGCAGCAGCTGATCTTCCGGCCCCAGCAGCAGCACCGATAGGAACAAAGAGATGTGGAAAAGCAGGGGTCACCATTTCCAAACCAAAGGCAGCATTTTCCAGGAGATCAGCGAATAACCTCCATCCTTTAGGATTGACATCAAAATGCCTTCCATATTTGGACAACATGATTTTACTCAAATAACCAATCCCATCCTTTAACACCCAATTGATGGCAGCAGCTGTGGGAATAGCTCCTTTCCCCAATCCAACAGCATAAAGCAATGCCTGAACAATATCAAACAAAAGTGAGCACCAAATGTTTTACGAAATTCCTAAATCAGAAAATAAGAGCAAGCAAGTAAGACATAATTACTTGGGTGGCAAGAACGCCGCTGATTTGGCTAGCAACGCCCTGTACGCCTCTCCAAAGAGAGTAATCAAGATAATCACTGGTAACGCTGTCGGGGAAACCTTCAGGGAGCAGCAACCGCATGACAATGTCTCCGCATTGCCGCCAAACAGTTGACAGCGACAACGATTTTGTTAAATTCACAATCCCGTTCGAAGCAACAAATGCATCCTCGGTGAAATCAGGAATGAACTTAGTCCACTTGCTCCCTTTCACTTCCCAAACCACGTCATTCTCCTGGGAATCCTCGTTGGTTCTTGCAAGGGCGGAGGATAATTGGGAAGGGCAGAAGCAAGCAACGAATGAAGAAAGAAATAAAAGAAAAGGATGAGAATGAGAAGACGATGAATCGTCGTTCCACCGCCAAGAGTCAGACCCAAATGGCCCATCATTGTTATTGTTGTTGTTGTTGCCGTCACAACCGCCACCATGACCATGAGAGAGCAAAGGGAAGGGCAAGGAGTTAGTAGTAGCAGCAATAACTGGTTTAGAAGACGCGCGGATGGCTAAGTGGGAAAAGAGAAATGGGGTGGTGGGCGGCGCATAGCTTGAGGGAGTAGAGGGTGAAAGGAAGGCGAAGGGTAAAGAAAGGAACAAGGGCCTGCAACAACAACCGCAAGCGCAGGCCATCCCTCTCTCACTTACATAGATATTATCAGCGTCCCTGTTTTTTCTTGCTGGCCGAAATCATCATTTTCGGGTTCCTGCTTCTAAATTCTACTTGTAGGAATTTTCATTTGGTGGAGAGGAGGAGGACGACGACTGGACGAGGAGACGGAGAGCGTAGCGGAGGCGGCGCGTTTCCTTTTTCCCTTCGAACCGGAGACGCCGAAGACAGGCTTCCACCTCTATGAAGATGCCATCAACGGTAAAGATGTTGCCAGGTAAACATTTTTCAAGTCAAAATGTAATTTTGTTTTGTAAGGGATGGCCATTAACAGATGTTTTCACAATGGTCAAAACTTCAGCTTGAGGAAATAAATATTCATTTTTTTGAATTATGGGACTAATTTTATGTAGGATAAACTTTAGGATGCATACAATAAAATTAAAGAAATATTTTTAATAAAATAATTTTGTATACGTCAACTGACATGTGAACTATCATGTGTTATCGATTATCAATTAACGATTAAATTGACAAAAAGATCGATAAAATGATATTTTCATTCATAATCGTGAAAGTTTAAGAATTAATAAATAATTTTTTAATTGCAGAAATCAAAATGATATGAAATTAAATTTTGAAAATCGGGGATGTAATGTATTTTATATGTAATATAAAAATTAAAAAAAATCCAACTCGTTATTTGCGCAAGAAATAATTGAACATCGAGCGATAAATTTTAATTAAAGAAAATTATTACATAATGAGCATATATCAATAAATTAAGTTAATATTTAAATTATATTTAAGGTTATATCGATCACTAACCAACTTTTTCACTTTGTCTTTTCTTTAAGAAGAAATCTAAGTCCAGATCATCGAGGGGTTTTCATTTTCCTACAGTTTTGGGTGGTTTGGGGTTCAATTATTACCCCGCCTGCCTGCTGCTCCAAAAGAACAAGAACCTGGTTTTTCATGAACGGAAAGGGCGATTAAGTTGTCATTTTACCAGGATTGTAGAGTTAAAAGGTTCTAAGAAGGATTGCATTTCGATCTCCATGCGCCTTCCACCGCATTTCTCATGATCAAAAAGGCCATGCATGCTAATCAAGCATGGTTGCGGAGGAATATTCATTCAAAAGCCAAATAGAACTCACAGTAGCAGATTTCTCATCCATTAAACTATATGTGCCTCAAGGAGGGTTTCAGAGAGAGAGGGAGGGAGAGGGTTATATACAAATTCAAGGAACAGCCAATCGGCCAGCATGCCCCAAAGACTTCCAGGACGACTCCAGCCGCATCAAATGCAATTTCTCAACAAAGGGTTCAAGAATCTCTGCCTCTTCTTCCGGAGCAAAGGCCATGCAGATGCTAAGCTCTTGCACTGCCCTGCCATATTCCCTGACATTTTAATATCATATATATTTTCATCCATCATCACTCTAATGAGCTTTACATAGCCTTGTTTTAAGATTAAAGAGGTTTCGGAATTGATACCTATTATAATACAGCATCATGCCATGGTCTCTCCTTAGTGCCCAATTATGTGGCTGCAGAATCAACAATCTTTCTGAAGCCATGATAGCTAGCCTGCAAAGAAATTTAATGTTTAGCATGCCACATATGAAGATGCTCTTTCGCAAAATATAAAACTTGATTAACTGCCTTCATGCATGAGTTTGGCGCAAGCTTCTGCTGTCAAACTTGCACCAATACTACCCAACCCAAGGAAGCGAGACCAAACCACCCATGAAAAACACATACATTATTATGTCATTTAAAGAATGGGGTAAAAAAGGAAACAAGTTTAAGAGCAACTCCCAAGCCTAGCCATCGTCAGTATGTGCATATAAAGAAAAAAATGTTCAAAACACTACCAGTGAACTATGCTCCAACTCAATACAAGTCAATGATTAATTGGAACAAAAGCCTAACCTCACTACCAAGTGTCACTATAAAAGATAAATAGAGGTTACAGAATCCAAAAGAAAAGAACACGAGCAAAATACCAAAGCCTCACTCCAATAACATGTCTATGTCACATTTACCACCTTTTTTTACCAAAAATAGGGGAAAAACGCGTATGGATAGGGAAAGTTTTTCTTGGTAAAGCAGGACACGGAAAGTAATGCCAGCCCAGTCCCACCCAGTCACCATTCTTATCAGAGATAACTTCCTTGTAAAGTGCATTTAGAAAGAATATCAATGAATATGCAACTTACCTTCACCAGATCAAATAATGCAGCCCAACTCGTCTCTTACCTTATGAATTAATTGAATACAGCAGATAATATTAAAGATACCAATGTTGCAGTGCATGGCCTTTACTATATTAGACATTTATTTATGAGGTCATAATATCTGATGCCAAATACAAAGAATGTCTCATCTTCAGCTTCAAATGCACAACAGAATTGTTGAGACGTAGTTCAAAACAGTCATATATTGCATAAGAACACAAACATAGCTGCTACATAAATGAAAATATCAGGAAGAGAGTTATGCTACTAAAATAATAAAGATAAATTAGAATTTACCTAAGATCTTGAGGCCGCAACAAAGGGACATTTGATTTATCAATCATGTTAGGTTTCTCATCAGCATTATGAACATGCCTAAGTGGAGAAGTCAGCATCAACCCATGATTTGATCTCGAAGCACGTTTCCAGTGAAGCCTCTGCAATTATTTTAAGTTTATTTCATATGTAGGAAAGAAATATGGGAAGTACATTTTGAGGCATGAATGGTTCACATGTAATGAAATGTAAACACAAGTTCTATAAAAAATAATAAAACTTGATGATAAGGACTAGGACTTACAATTAAATTGGCTAGAGCAATCCCAATAATATCACGGTTTGTAGCTATCTCAAGCGCTAAAAGTGAAGTACCAGTTAAATCTGATGCCATTGATCTAGGGTCCTCCACACACCTTCCATTGACAATAGCGAACAGGCTGTGTCCTGAAGTCACTTTGAAGAGCTCCTACAGAGAGAAGAGTAAAAGGTGAATTTAACTCCAACTTAGGCAAGTGGCCAAAAGAAAAAAGGAACTCGCTTGTAATTTTTCTAACCAGAAACATAACTATGGATTGGATGAGACATCGAATGATGCATCAGTACAAGCATGAACTAAGAATCATGCATCATGAAAATAAACTTTCAAGATTAAAGTACCTCTGGATACCCTGTCTGGGGCCATATTAAAAAATCTCCCCCAACTCGAGATCCCACAATGGTTACACCAAGCCGCCGACAAACTTCAATGTAAATTATGCTAAGCAAAATTGCTGTAAACAACGCAATCATATAACTAGAATGTCTAAAAATGACAACAAAATGATAAGGAAGCATAGGTTACAATAAAGAAAAACAATTTCAATGCCACTAGACCCAAATTATGAGGGAAAATGTGTTGCAGCAAGTGAGTCTTATTGCATAAAAGAAGTAGAATGAGGCTTTACCACTGCCACATCCAGAGCTCAGCACTGAGTGTAAGTATGAATGCTTAGAATCCACGAGAACAGGGTATCTTTTGAAGCCTCTTAACTCAAAAAGAACTAAATTGACTGCCTCCAAAACTTCAACCAGATGGCAGCCTATGTCTCTTGAAACTAGCTCTGCTTCTACTTCTTTAGCAATTGCATCCAACTCACTCAGCCATTCAGATATGGTCTTTCCACCCAAAGGCATTTGCTCCACAGAATCCCACTCTTTGGTATCAGATGGGGAAGAAACATTTCTCCTTTCATTCAGGAGGGAGAGAGTGTCCATCTCTTGGTTAAAAGCCATGAATGCCTCATCTTCAGCTGCAACATAAAGCAAAGCCTACACCAAAAGATATCAAGCAAAATAAAACTTCCAATTACATTTCAAAAGGCACAAATGAAGCAGTTAAATACCTCTTCAAGTAACAATTTATCTTCTCACCAGTCACCATACAAACAATGAGTTAGTCAAGGCCGTATAAATTATCTAGCTGGTACCGCAATTTGACAAGGTCAAACACAAAAAGAAAGGGAAGTAAGCATGTAGTCAGTATGTTTGTACCTTAGCAAGAGAGATGTCCTTGTCCTTGGACTGGATCGAGATTTCTCGAGTGAACTTGTCCCTTGCAGTCTTAAGAGCCTGTTGATTGCATTATAGTTCAACAGAATATTAGAAAATGGAAATGGAAGATAATCTAAGTAATGAAAAATTATTCACATGGTGATGTGGATATCCAGAATGGATGAACAACATATATGCGTATATTGTTATAGATCAACCTCCTGGTAAAATTTGTGACGGGAAGAAGAGTCTTTAGTTAGCTGAATCTGATTGGAAAAGAGAGGGTAAGCAGAAGCAGAAGCTGGAGTAGCAGCAGTAGTAGTCCTAATCCTCCATCTCCTCAAGTCCTTGTGATCATGATGATGATGATGATGATCATACCTGATGATCGTAAAGAATAAACGGATATTCCAGGCGTTTTCCTACTACAAATCCTTCTCCCATCTCTATATTCATATACTACTACTAAAATATTCATTTCCCCCCAACTACTATGAGAAACCCAACAGTCAAATTATAGTAAACCCAATTAGCAGAATCAATTCCTACAATATAAAGAGAAGAACAGGAACAGAGAGAGAGAGAGAGAGGGAAACAAGTTCAATTATCAAAGAATTACCTGATAAAGCAATGATCAGGGAAAGTCGGAGAAGCCATAGCTGCCGCTGGCACGCAATATGGTGTGCACAACATTTTGTCACTTTATCTTGCCTTGCAAATTGCTCTGGGGAAAGGTGAAAAATGGAGCTAAAAGAAAAAAATAGTCTACCACACTAAAGCAAGAGAAAAAGAAAGGTTAAAAAGATGGAAGAAGATCAAGCGTCTTCTCTAAAGGGAGACGAGGCAGCAGTGAATTTGGAGGAAGAGGGTTTCAAGACAGAGTTTAAGATCTCGGGCTCTGGGAAACTACTTCCAAAACACAAAATGGATGATCTGGAAGATGAATTAGAGCAAGTATAGAAAGATGATGAACCCAATGAAGCCTGATTTAAGGAGAAGAGACAAGATTTCCCAAAATCCATAATATGGCAGCAGAATTGAACTTTAACCAGCAACTTGTTTCTTCAGTTGACTGAAACGGAAGGTGTGTTCAGGAAGAAGAAAAACAAAGAGTTTGCAGCAAGAATTTGAAGCTTACAAGAGAGGAAGGAGCTGTAGGAGATTAGAAGGGTGAGGCTGCTCCTTCTTCTCCCTCCCTTGAATTTGGTTGTGGCAATAACTTGATAGATAGATAGATGGATGGATAGATAGACGCTAAACTGACATGATAGGAGCAAAGCAAATAAAGCCAAGGTAATGCCAAATTTATGGATGATGGATGGGAATGACAAATTGAGAAAAGCTGTGCAAGTTGGAATTCAATCCCCCTTGGCTTTTCTCTATTTATCTTGCCTTTTATTTCTGTTTTATCACCCCATTCCCATTTTCTTTTAATCTTTAAATCCTAAACACAAGGTTAAGAACAGGGTTACCTAGAGTATGTTTTTTCAGACCATATTGCATTATTTTTGCTACCTCTTTTGTCTTGTTCTTCCAAAGGAAAAAAAGACAAAACAAAACAGAAAATAAAAGCTAAAGGGGAGGCCCTTTTTGGTAACTCGATTACATTTCAGGCTGGGTTGGAAATACCCAAAATGCCAGCTTGAAAAGACCAAAAAGAGGGGTGGGTGTTGGAAATCTTCCTTTGATTGTAGGCAGTTTTACCACCTGACAAGAAGAGCATTTTAATTATTGATATCGGCCAAGTTCCAATCTTGGCACAGAAACGGAATCGAAGAGAAGAGTAGATAGGTGGGATAAGGTTGCATCATAGTAGAAAATATAATTCAAAGATATAGATGGAGTGGAGAGAGCCCGCTTGGCTGCTTTCTTGCTTTCACGGTCATATCCCATTTTCTCGTGAAAGTGAATACAGAAATGGAGAGACAGTGGATTTGGATTATGATTGGACCCAATCTGGTTAGCCGCACCTGACGTTTGCTTTGGGCTACATTTGTTTCTATCATTTTTTGGGTTCCTGTATCGCCATTACAGGAGAAAGCGCAGATCATAAGCATATCCACCAATGCCATCTGATCAGGCCAATAACAAATAACACATTAACAAAATTCCTTGTAAACTTATTATAGAAATAGGGATCTATCAATTATATGTAAATTTTGGGAATGGAATAATTCTTTACAATCATCTACTCCGGATCTTAAGACTGCCCCATTCTCATCTTTTTTCCTACCTACCGTACGACAATATAAATTTGCATGGATAGGATCCTTGTCATCATCAGTTTTCAAGTATTGGAAGCATATGGTTGAATCAATTATGCCATGTGGTTTGGTAATTGGTCCCAAGCAATGACTTTTGTAATTATATATGTATATATATACATATTGTTAGATTACACTCCTATCCTTACAATTAGGACATAATCACTCATACACCCTAACTTCAAGAATCTGTATTTCGTTAAATAAGTTAATTTGATTAATTTTTGTAATCAAATTAATTAAATTTAATAAAAAAACTTATACAAATTAATTGAAATTTTATTGTAACAAAATTAACCAATTAATGAATTAATTCAATTAATCAATTTTTTTAAAAATAATTACGAATTGAATGAATCAAATTAATCAATTAATTGAAGAAATTCAAATAGATTACGCTATTTGTCTTTATAGTTATGACATAGTCACTCACCTACTTAGATTACTCAAGTTTTGAAAATATTAACCGGGGGTGTCTTTAAAGAGTGTGTATTCCATTAAATCAATTAATTTGATTAAAAAATTCCTTTTAATTGAATTAATTGAACTTACTTTAAAAAAATTAAACAAATCAATCAATATGTTATTTAAACCGAAGCAGTCGATAAACAAATTAATTTGATTAATTTAATTAATAAAAAATTAAAATAAAAACAGATGAAAAAATTTTAAAATAGAAATCAATCGAATTAACTGAATTAATTAAAAATTTTAATAATAAGAAATTTTCACTTAATTCGATTTTGACAAAATTGTGCTCATTCCTAGGGGCCCCAGCGTCATCAAGGGGGTGAAACAGTGGGCCATGGCCTCATCCAACAGCAGTTAAGGCACCAAACTAGGCTCACTCCTAATTAGAAAGTGGCCCCCAGTGGGCCTAAGTCTACGCCAGTCCTCAACCATGCATAGCCCTTTTATTTTCTTCTTTTTTCAGCTTTTTATATTCGGCAAATTCGACATCCCTGACAGGAAAATACTAGAAGTCGTTTTCTTTTTAATCATTGGGCTACATTGAGGGAGTACCTATTTCATTTCCATAAACTTATTTTTCTTAGAATCTTTTCAATTGTGCTTGACATGCAATTTCTCCAGGAAGATGACAGAAAAGAGTAACCTGGCAAGTACTCTAGGGCTGGCTGATATGGTTCATACTTCATATTTCCCAAGTGGGTTTGGACGTTGAATTTGCTACAAGTTTTAGCTTTTGCAACAGATTTGGCATCAAAATCTGCTTCCTGACAACAGAATGCTCTACTTCAAGTTCAGGAAGAGCACCAAACAAACAGAAACAGAATGATGTACCACTTACAGATAGAAAATCAGAGCTTGCCTGAATGATTCCAGCTGGTCCCGCAAACTCCATCTTCTTCAAAGAGTTGTCTCCTGAGTAAGGCTTTATTGTACTCAGATTGGCATCCAGGAATAGAACAAAATTTGAAAAGATTAATCATTATGTTCACTTAAACCACACAACTGTGAACTAACAAACCCAAGGAGATAGTGAAATGGGGATAACTGCGCAGTCTGAGTTAAACAAAGCCTTACTTTGAAGACAACCCAATCATGGACAAGCCTCCAGTTATCTTCTTCTGCAACACCAACCTAGAAAGAAAGAGGGTAATGGTGATTATCCTCCCATTAAATAGAAATCTTCATGCGTCAGTTTAAGAAGCCAGCACTCAGATTCTTAAACTTGTTTTTCAAAACAAAGCAGGTGCGTTGATGAACACCAACCTGGCCGAGGGCTTTGATTGATTCAAGTGAAAAATTAATTATTTCATTGATAGTTCCCACAAAATCACAGAACCAGGTATAGAATGAGCTTTGTTCTCAAAACCCGATCAGGAACTAGTCTGCATTTTTTTTATTTTTTGAAAAGAGGAACTAGTCTGCATTTAACCCTCAAGCATTGCTCGGATTTGTGGAACCAGGGATATTTTTGCCTCCAAGATTCTGAGTACTGTCGATCGTTTTATATGCCTTTTCCTCCAAGAAAACAACAAGCACCAGCCGGTTTGACCCATGAGTTTGAGTGCGACAAAATCAACCATGCATCGTTCGTGACGCCCAGCACATGTCAACATTTATTAGAATCATCGAAGTCTTTGGGATTTCCTAAACTTTAATTAGTAGGATTACCAATTTAAAAAAAAAAAAAGAAATAAAGAAACAAAGGAAACTTACAAAAGAAGGAGATGTTGGTAGGCAAACAAAGAACTAGCATACTGCAGATCCTGGCAGCTCTGCAAATGCGATGCCGAGTCCAGCAACAATCCTCCGGCTCTCCTCGCCCAATCCAGACCTCATTATCACAACCCAGAAATCTGAGACTCTCATACGCCGGCCCAGCCGCTCCTCAACGTCCTCTAGTCGGCCCACAAAGTTCTCTTACTGGACTAGTTGGAGCAACATCAATGAACTAGGCGACTACATCAACCCCAGACGACTGGGCAACGATTCCTCAAAGCCTTCTGATTTAACAGCGGAGAGTCTCGATGCACATAATAAGTTGCATGGCATACTTTCTCACAGGGCTACTATCAGCAATTACATTTTTAGTCATGTGGATGAAAAGACCCACAAGTGCAGTCCTTATTACAAAGGACTCATCGATTTAACCCTCTCCATCAATCGCGAAAAAAATATGCCTGGAGCAGAGAGTCCTGGACGTGTTAGCCACACAACTACGGTCTTCACTACCACTTCCAGCTCTCTTTCCTCTTTCTTCGTTAAAGTGCAAGAATTTAGTTCTAGCTGCTTCAACTGTAGAAAAACTGGTGACCGAGACCCCTCTCCTGCTGCTGCTCCTCCAACCCCTGTTAAAACAACTTTTCCGAAGGAGATGAAGTCAGAGAAGAAGGAAGCCACCGATCCTCCTGATCCTCAATTAGTTGATACGGTGAAGCCATTGAGGGAGAGAGTATCAGAACCATCCACACCACCGACGCCAACAATCTTGCCAACCAAAACTGTTCTTAGTAATGATGAGAAGAAAGAAGCCGATTCTCACAAGGGGAACCAAAAGTTCATATGGGCAGACAAGTGCCGACCCAAAGCTTTAAAAGATTTCATCTGCAACAAAAGTGAGGCCACTCGATTGCAGGCTCTGGTGAGATTAATTCATCCCTTTTCATAGATTATTCTTTTACGCTTATATATGGGCGTACTGAGCAAAGTTTGGAATGCATTTGAACGATAGATGATGGATGTCACAGGTGAAACACGATCTATGCGATCATGTTATATTTGAAGGACCCCCTGGCGTTGGGAAGAGAACCATGATCTGGGCTATGCTTCGAGAAGCTTTTGGACCTGACAGACTCCAGGTACCATAAAATTTGAAAATCCGGTAGCATTGGGCAACAGGTTTTTTTTTTTGGTTGAAGTCATGGAGAGGAAGATTTGGACTTGAACTTTCTTTTCTTTTCTTTCCTTTTCTTGGAGAAATATAGCCGGCTGCTATGGTGCTACTACTACCACCACCAATAGTTAAATAGAAGTCTAATAATGCACTCTAATCTCAGCACAGCAACTTCATTGCATGCAAATAGTCACTGATAATATCTATAGGTCAATGTTTAACTGTGTGGCGCATTCCTTGCAAAGCTTTTCAACGAGTCTGTTTGTTTCCTAGAGTAGAACTAATATAGTGTAGTATTGTTTAGAAAGGACCATAGAAACTCCATTCTTTCATTTAGTTAACGGAAGCCTTTTTTCATGCTTTTTCAGACTAGGGACGAGTGCAAGGCGTTTGACTTGAAGGTAATTCTCATTCAGTTTTTGTAAATATTTTATTAAAGAAAAAATCTATGATGTTTTTAAATTTTAATCAAAATTACATGTAAATTTATTAATTTTTTTAAAAATATTTTATTAAAAAAATTTATTAATATTTTTATTAATTTGATGATGTCATAATATTTTTAAAATAATTTTTTTAATATTAAAAATTATTACAAAATAAATTATAATTTTTTATTTTTTAAATTTTAAAATTATCATTAAATAAATTATAATTTTGTGTAAAAAAAAATTTCAAGATCCCCTACAAACAACATTCTAGTGGAGCCCAATTTGGGCTCCTTGGAGAGCCCGTTCCTGCTCTCAGAGTGCGCTATTCTAGTGTTCAGTAGGAGATGGTTGGCCTATATAAGGAGACGTCGCCAACCGATTTGAGAGAAAGAAAACAATAAAAAAATAATAATATTTTAGATATTTTATATTTAATATTAAAATCATTTAGATGAATTGAGATAAAATGTTTGTTTTAAAAATTAAGTATTTTTTGTATAATTTTAATCAAAATTTAAAAATGTCTTGATATTTTATCTTTATGAATGATTTATAAATGTAATTAAATTACAGATTTTGACATAATAATATAGTTTGCAGTTGACTTGTCCTAAAATGAGATCTTTCTGTATATGTAACATTCTGACAGGGGGAATCAATAGGAAGAATCGAAGTAAATGTGAAGGAATCTTCCAAGCATGTAGAGGTCAATCTCTCGGATGTAAGAGGGTATGAGAAGCATGTCATTGTGGAACTAATGAAGGAAACACAAACCAAGACCTCTAAATCTAATAAGGCTTTGTCATCCTACTCTGATAACTGCAGAGGTATGTTCGACTAGTGCCACTCCCCTAACAAGAAGTCAACTGCAAACTATTATAATGATTTCACCATTGAGAAGAGCGGAGAGGACCGAGAGTTCGCTTTTTCTCACCCTCTCTGCTGCTTTCTTTTAACACACTGATATGTCAACTTTTGTTTCTTTTTGAATGGTTCACGCACACATCCCTTGGCGACAGGGGGGGCCTGTCTTTAGTTTCTATGATTTTTTGTGTATATGGGAGCTTTGGCCAGGCTATGTGTATTGTCAAGCAACTGGCGGGATTTGGTTTGTTTTTAAGTCCAACAGAACTGTTGGCACCTTGCGTCCCTAGTGGAAGGCAGGGGAAAGGAAAACATCGGGGGAACAAGACTAGAGCATCACGGAGCTGGAAACAACGGAGGATAAAATAGGCTAAGATTCCAATCACTGGTGGATCGGTGGGTCGCTTTCTGGCCATGACAGTCGACTGTCGTCGGTGCTTGGTTTTTGGAGGCTGACGACGTTTCTTTACCTACAAAGTTAGAGTAAAAGTTAGTGAAATAGCCTTGTGGGATTGTATTTTTGTCTAGGATAGGGACGGCCAATTGGGGGGCTGATGCCTGTTGGTAGCCACCAGATTAGGGAACTTGCGATGCACCCCATTGATTACTGGATGTCTTATATTTCACTGAGCAGGGGTAGTAACGCTGATCTCATATTGTACAGAGAAGATTTTGCGTCGATGCACAGCAGATAGCAGTATAAAGACACAAAATCCTAACTAATTTCCTGATTTTTGTTTCTGTCTGCAGCAATTATTCTATGCGAAGCAGATAAGCTAAGCACAGATGCCCTGCTGTACATTAAATGGCTGTTAGAAAGGTATAAAGGGAACAATAAGGTTTTCTTCTGCTGCTCTGATGTCTCAAGGCTTCAGCCAATTAGGCCAATTTGCACGCTCATTCAGCTACTTCCGCCTTCAAAAGAAGAGGTGGGTGGGAAACACTCACACTACCAGAGTAAATGGAATCATATCCGGAGATTTTGATAAAGTTCTGTTCATGCCTTCAGATTGTTGAAGTTCTGGAATTTATAGCTAAGCAAGAAGACATATATCTGCCAACTAAATTGGCGGAAAAGATGGCCGACAGCTCCAAGAATAATCTCCGTCAAGCCATTCGTTCATTCGAAGCCTGCTGGCACTCAAGGTGAGGAAAATTACACTTCTTCTCCACCATCCTTACCATCTTTTAACTTGTTGTTTCCATTTTTCATTTTGCTCAGCCAAAGATAAGATTTTATTCATAACTGTAAGATACAGTCGTGGGTAGTCATGAGACACCCCATAACAGCAGACAGAAAACTTCCAGAAATGGGAAAACCAGGGACAACCTGGCGATGGAGCAAGCTAAACAACACTAGCCCCACAAGACAGGCCATGGCACAAGATAAAGAATAAGGACAGAGATTGCTAAAACAGAACCCACATGACAAGCCGTAGCACAAGATAAACAATAAAGCCATAAATTGCTATCAGAACAGAGCCCAATAAGAGCAACGCCTAGGTAAGAATAAGCAGCAAAGAAGACATAAAACATAGGTGATCAAAACAACATAGCTACCACCAAGCAGAAACATTTATTCTTGATCAACACCATATTTCGGCTAAGGCATCCGAAAAAGGGCTCCCTTCCCTCATAGTGTTGTCAAAAGTGACATCCCCTAATGATTGAACCAACGCAACAATTTCATTAAATATCCCCTGAAGATAGCAGCAAAATAGGGAAATGGTCGGACAAAGCTCTCTCAAAACTTTTTTGCAGTAAATGCTGAAAATGAAGAAGCCAAAACAGTTTCCACGTTTCTCTTGTTTGGTGAACACTTTATTCTTGAGTTGCAGGTATCCTTTTAAGGAAGACCAAGTAATTTTAACTGGATGGGAAGAGGACATTGCAAACATTGCCAAGAACATAGTCGAGGAACGAAGTCCAAAACAGTGAGTTGTTCTTAGCTTACATCTGAAATTTCAATCAGGGGCTCTCAACTTTTACTATAGCTTTGAAAGAGTGTTGGTCGTTTCTGGACTTTCTTTACAGGCTATACATAATCCGCGGAAAGCTTCAAATTCTCATAGAGCATGATGTATCTCCTGACTTCATATTCAAGGTAGGAAGTGTTTCCCCTACAAATCAACCAGTAGCATGAGTCAGAAACCGTTTAGATTTCCATTCTAGTAATTCAATTTAATCATCTTCATTTGCAGTCTCTGGTTGAAGAAGTGAAAAAGCATCTGCACGAGAACTTGCATCCTCAAGTTGATGGTTTATATGCTGAATACAATGTATGAACGCCAATACCCACTTTTTCTTTTCTCCTTAATATCTCATTTCCATGATGTTTAAGAGCTAATTCCAATGAATGTCTTATATTAAAGAGGGATGATGAAAGCATGATTGAGAGTGAGGATGAAATGAGTAATAAGGTCATCGACCCGGCGAGAAAGAACATGAGGATTTTCTTGAGAATCGAAGGTATGCAAGCATACAAACCTTCCAAGTTTACAGAGCAATAATTCGTAACTAAGTATCCTGTTCATCCTTGTTTCTCTATTTAACAAAAAATCATGTTAAAATTATTCCACAGAGTTCATAGCCCGATTCATGAGCTGGTACAACAACCAATTAAGGATGGCAAATGCAGGCGCCCTGGCGGGTGAAGGGACTTCATGCGATTGCTGATCAGCCCTTTGCTCTGCCATTAATCTCTCTCTCTGGTTGAGTAACATGATGGAGAGATAATAGGCTCCAACATTTTCCTTGAAAAATGAATACATATGGATCGAAGCAACGGGATATTGATTCGACCATTATTGCTGTTAAAGTTGTACGAGTTACTAGTCGAATCTACTCAAAACTTTATGGGCTATTTTTTTTTTCCTTCAAACAAATTCCATGTTAAATGCAGTGATAATGATGATTAAATGTACATCATGAACTGCATTATATTTTACTAATTTGAATATCATATATCTAAACAGAGAAGTAATGGAATCAGCTGTAATTAGTTTGGAAACAGTGATTCTGATAATTGTACCATAGATTGGTTCTGAAACTGAAGCTAGTTTAGTTGATAGGTTCAAAGTGAAAATTCGATCGAGTTTTGGGTCCAGAAAAAAAGAGCAAAGCCCAAACCCTATAGACAAACTTTTGACTTTTGCGTTTCGACCATGGGCCATGGTTCTTTGT